AAAAAAAAAATGCATAAAAAGTCAAAACACTTTCATATTTGCTTTCTGCGAAAAGCGAAAGCTTTCAGAAATGGGCCAAATGGTAACACACACAAATGGCAACTTCTCGCTGACAAGCTTGTAGTTGGCTCGCTTTTCAGGGAGATGCTAAGAAACAGGCTGATGGCGATTTAGACCTGACCCACTAAAATGCTTCAGTACCAATTTACCAACGAAACGAATGAACGAATTAGAGGGGAAGACTGGTATCTCACAAGTGAATCAAATTCTTCTACTCGAAAGCAGTTTTTAGTTTCTAATAATCTATACAATTTGTCTTTTACCATTATCTGATGAACATTTTAACAGTTCATTTGTTCAGGTTGATGTTTTCCGTGCTACTTTGGTTAGTAGCCACGTTTCTGCTTTGCTGCGATGGGCGCAAGCGCCCACGCCACATGCCTGCAACCGTCTTTGGGCGTCCGTTTGGTGGTTTTCTGGACCACTCCGATGTCCACAAATTTGCTGCACCGACTGTACTGAATGATCAAGTAAAAAAAGGCGTTGTGTATCAATCAGTGGACCATTTCGATCCACTCAATATGTTCAGTTGGAAGCAAGTGAGCTACATTCCTTTTTCTTACTAACTCTATCGAATTTCACAGATCATCCTTAAGGATGAATTTTTACAAGCATCATCAGAAACTTTTTTTTTAAAAAGGTCGATTTACTCTTTGCAATAACACAACCGTCAACTGACAAGGTCCAGTTGTATTGCCAAAGCAGAAGTAAACGAGCTAGTGGACCGAAACATTCCTCACTGGAATTATTTATAAACTTAAGGCTGTCTTCTCTTTTTTCTCCTGACGACTCTTAAAACAACAATTTGAGGCTATTTTCCTATTATTAAAATACTGTACTTTTCAAGGCATTAATCTTAACTTCAGAAAGCATGCTTTTTTGCTTAAAAAAAATGCTTAAAATATTGTGAAAATTTCAATTTTATTGTTCTTTTCACAGGTCACTATCAGGAATTCTGTGATACTAATGTTATCGGAATTCTTTTCTTCCCTTTCACTCTGATAGCAACAACTCTACTCTAAGTGTGCACATATTCAAAATTAAGAGAAAAGGTGAACTAAGAGATAAGATGTTTCGATCCATCAGATCCATGGAGGACTAAATTCCGCCATCAGTTCAAACCCGCGCATTTCGAAAGATAGCCAGTGAAATTTTGCAGCATTACTTGTACAATATGCAGTTTTATAATGGAAGCGGCCTAGTGTTTTGCATGATTGGCGGTGAATCAAAGATAAGCTATAAATGGATTGCCGACACATCGTACATGTGGCTGGTTTGGGCCAAAAAGTACAAAGCTGCCGCATTCCTGCCAGAACATCGATTTTACGGCGACAGCCATCCTAAGCGGTTGGTTTTACACTCCAGTTGTTGCTGTCGTGGAACTCAGGATATTCACGAATATCGCCTGGAGTTTGGATTTAGCCACTGACGAAGCCGATGAAATTACGATGTAAAAAAAGTGGTCTGATGCACTGTTTCACAAATGCTGTACTTTTGAGCTGATTTTTCCTTGGAAATTAGTTTTTCAAACAAACTTCCCCATAAATTCTTTTTAAAAGTCAAGGTCAAAATTCATATCCTCTGCTCCACTCATTCTAGGTTTGAGACTGTAGCAGTTGGGGTAGTAGTCCCTTAGCTAACAGAAACCATCTGCTAGCAAAATCACCTACGACTTCCTTATCCGAGAACTGTTGCAGGCAGAGTCCCTTTCCGAAAATTGGTATAAACCAGGAGAGAATCAAAACATTTCTTTTCACACCCAGACGCGACGTGCTATCCACTACACCACCAGTTTTTCTGCTTCGTATAGCAGCTGAAGCGCATTTAATTCGTATGTATGCCAGTCGCATACATTTTGTTCGATACTGTATTGGTGCTTCTATCAAATACAGCAAATCACCAATTCTTGCCAGCTTTTCGCCTGCGGCAGACACTCCTACAAGAACAAGCGATAATCGGGTTGTGTTGCAGAGATATGTCGACGGCAAGCTATCAGTATTTCACTATCGAGCAAGCACTTGCCGATTTGAGAAATTTCATCCTAAACATAAACGAAGAATTCTTTCCAAACGTAAAGACACGTTGGATTTTGTTTGGTGGTTCCTATCCAGGTCTTCTCACTATCGCATTTTTGGCATAATTTTTTTCCAATTTCTTATTCGATATTTATGTTTCGAAAAACACCAAACATATAAATGATCAACACAGGGTCATTATCTGCATGGTTTCGGGCCCAAAATCCGGATATCACAATTGGGTCGATTTCCTCATCGGCTGGAATGCATACGCAGCTCGATTATTATCGTAAGTTTTAAATTTCACTTATGACTTTTTAAGCAAAGCAGATGCGTGTTGGAGTTTTGAAAAGTGATAACGAGCGACAGTAGTTACCACTTGCCTCACTTCAACCATTTGCCTTGATGCTGCCTTTAGATGACTCTTTGATCTAAATATTAATAGTAAAATTGTTTATTGAGTTGACGCAGAAATATTATTCTTATTCAAGGAATAAATTATCGGCCAGCCCAACAATGAAGTCGGACAGATCAATCTCTCTAAAATCCAGCGATTTATTTCAATGATAAATTGTTAATACTATGTCAACTTTTAAAGTAGAAAGTTTATCAGTTATTTTTTCCAACGAGCACCTTAATGAAGCAACTGCTGATAATCGCGCCACCGATGGATAGTTACTGATTGCCAGAGGCTACCACTTCTCGTTTCCTGTGATTAAATGAATTATCATGGAGGTTTAATGTAGAACACGCTGTCAGT